ATTTTTCATCATGAATCCTTTTGTTGCCACTACAAAAAGAGCTGCTATAAATATTTGTGTGCAAATATGACCTTGCATTTCTAAAACCAATAAAAAAAAATTTTAAACTGGAAGACTTGAGAGAAGGTAAGGCTTAAAGAGGTGGAAGAGGGAGGTATTCCAGGGGCAAATTATAACTTGTACTGGAGATAGCTTTTTTGAATTCAAAAAAACAGCTAGATTGACATGAATGTAGTATTCTTTAAGGGAAGTAATACAAAATAAGGCTAGAAAGGTCAGTTAAAGCCAAATTTTAGAGGTCTTTAAATGCCAGTTTGAGGTATTTGTGTTTTATTATAGAGATAATAGAAGTTCATAAATATTGTTGAGTGGAGGAGTGACATGGTCAGACCTGTATTTTAGAAATACGATTTGACATCTGGGTGGAGGATGAGTTGGAGAGAGGAGAGACTGGAAGTAAGCTATTATATTAGTCTAAGGGAGAGGTGATAAAGGCTTGAACTAGGATGGTGACCATGTGAATTGAAAGAAGGGTAAATATAAGAAAAAAAGGTTGCAGAAATAAAATTGATAGGATTTGGCAGCTGATTAGATAAATGGGTGGGAGAGAGAGAGAAGCATCAAAGACATTACTTGGATCCTTAGATGACTAGAATGGACAGGTTTAGGAAGAATGATAATGAGTTCCATTTTTCACACAATAAATTTGAGGTGCCAACTGGAATTTCAGGTAGAAATGTTCAGCAGTTAATTGACAATCCAGGAATTCTGGAAAGAGCTTAGTGTTAGATATATAGATTTGGGAACCATCTGTATATCGTTAATAATTGAGTACACAGGAATCAATGAGACTAATGAGAGAGAAACAGTAGAGAAAAAAAAAGACTCAATACAGAGCCTTAGGAACCACTTGCTTAGTGTACAGAAAAGGAGCCTAAGAAGGAACAGGCAGATGGGTAAAAGGAAAACCAGGAGAAAACAGCATTATAGAAGCAAAAGGAGCCTATAGCAGGTAGTTTTAAAAGTTACATAGAGATCAAGGAGGATGAGGCCTGAGAAAAGACCATCAGATGAGAAAATTAAATTTCTTCAGTCAAGGAGACACTTGAGGCAGGGAAGATGATTAGGAAGCTTTTACAATAGCAATTAATGAAGACCTTAACTAGGGTAGTGATTGTGTGAGTAGAAAGAAGGGGTATGATAAGAGAAATTGGGAGGTGGAACTGACAGATTTTGGAAACTGATTGTATATGTAGGGTGGGAGAAATCAAAGATGACAACAAGGTGTAAAAGTTTGAGTAACTGGAAAGATGGTGGTGCCCTCAACAATAATAGGAAAGTTTGAAAGATTAATAGATTTGGGAAAGAAAAGATAATGTGATATTACTTGTGATCCAGATTACAGTGCACCCATGACTGCTTATCTAGGTCACTCACTCTGAAATGAGGTAGGGCTCTTACCCACCAGTCATTGCTCCCAAGTTCACAGCCCACTCTTCTTGCCATAGCCGCTAGGTGATCTGAGGGTAGGAGCTCTGGGCAGAATCTTCTTGTTGGCACCTGGCAACTGCTCGAGGAAATGATTAGTTTAGGTTATATCTGCCCTAAGTTATCTGCTAACACTGGGCTCAGAATCATGCTTGCGACCTTGTGCAGCAGAGGGAGAGTGGAATGGTAGAATATTGGATGATCTGGGCATGTATAGGTGTGTGTTGGAATTAAGTCCATGATCCTGTAATTCCTTAGGTTCTGTCTATGAACCCTGCCTCCGATGATACTGCCATCCCCACATTATAGTCCCCATGTAATTTTAAGAGTCCTAAAGGAAGGCTGCAAGTATGTTTGGTAGAGTTTCTATGAAGGGTTTCTGAGAGCACAGGGACAAGAATTGTTCAAGAGAAGGTGTGGATGGTTTATAATCTGCCTTACCCTCCTCAGTGAGATCCCAGATCCATTAAAATCTAACGTCATGGGACTTTTGAGTTTACAAACCTTTTCTAATTATGCTACATCAGGTACATAATAAGCTCTAGCTATAAAAACAGCATTCTCTTCCATTTTACTGCTAGGAAAAGTAAAGCCCAGGCCACAGAAGGTGCTGCTGCCAAAGCCAGAATGTCAGTTTTGGCTCATTTTTCTCAATGCTACCATGTTTATGCAGGAGCAGTGTATCCCCCAGTGCTGACTAAAACACATTTGTTTTCTCTTCTTGCATGATTTCTGTATTCTCTGTGGTAACCCAGGAGATTTAGGAAAGTAGATTAGTCCTTCATCACCTGTTATAGTAACTGCGTGAATGTCACTGAAAAGGTCAAGCACTTTTATAGTTGAGACATTCATTTGAGCACAGATTAACCTTTATGATAATAACATATTTAGATGTTCTGACCTAATTCTTAATTAAACAACATTCTCAATTAAACAGAGTTCTCTTGCTGACATTGAATTAATGTTTAAGGAACAGGTGATTCCTTTTGAATTTTTTTTTTAAGTCTAGGACCAGGTAAAATAATCCTCAATGTTCCATTTATATTCTGTGGGCAGTTTTTCTTTTACCACAAATGTATTGATTCAAAAGCACTTTATAGCTAGACCTGATTTCATTAAGTAAATTCTGTGGGGAAAGAAAACAAAGCTTTAAGTGGGTAAGTATCTTAGTATTGTGATCATGTCACCTTAAAGTTAGAATTAAAATAGTAGCAGGAAAAGACAAGTCGGGTTGCAACATCACTTTTTGAATAGAAATTACTTTTATAAGACAGGACTTAGCCATAAATATTTTTGATTGTATCTAAAATGTTGCTACAGAGGTTCTGATATTCTTGGACTTATTTCAGAAAGTTAGTGTTAATCCAATGATTTATTAATTTTTTATATATCTTTTAAGTAATAAAGTTAGGATTATTTTTTTTCACTAGTGCCACCAACAATGAAGATTAAGAGACCCCAAAGGAAATTTCATGGACAGGAACTTTAGGGAGAAATTTAGCATATTAATAGTGTTTGCTCACATCCTGAATTATCATGCTGGCTGCTGCCACCCTCTCTTAGGGTTCACTTTTTCATTCCTCCATTCAATAAACATTATTAACTATCTACCATGATGCCTTGCACATCACTTTTTTTAAATTTTCCTGTCCGTGTGGGGAGCTCTCAGGAACTTATCTGTAACTTAAAGATTTAGTTACCCAGAACATTAAAAGGTTAAGTGACTCCCTGTGGTCACACAAGTAGAATATGCCCAAAACAAGATTTATGTCTAGGTCTTCCAGAGGCCAAAACAGGACCTTCACATTAATCCATCCTGCATCTCATCTAGCACATAGTATTGCAACAAACATAAGCACTTTACAAATAAATCATTTGATCCTTACAACAATCCTGGGAGGTATGGGCTATTATTACCCCCATTTTAAAGTTAAAGAAACTGAGGTAGAAAGAGGTTAAGTGACTTGCCCAGGATCACACAGCTGGTAAATGTTTGAAGTTGGATTTGAATTCAGTTCTTCCCAACTCCAGGCCCAGCACTCTTTGCATTTTGCATTGAAGTAAGACCCTGTTACATATATAGCATGATAATAATTTGGATAATAAGTTTCCTCTTAGGTTCTTGGGCAGGAAAGTGGCATAATGAAATAAATGTCATAAGAAGGTGAATCAGGCAACAGTGCTCCCATTGAAAGGAATGATATCCAGTTACAAACCTTAAACAGTAATATAGTTTGGCTGTGAAGAATAGTCAATATAGGGTGTTGGCAATGATAGTGGAAATCCCCAGGTAGATCTTTCTGACTCCAAGGCTTGCTCTCCATTATGTGACACTGACAGACATTCTACGATTCTGACTTACTAGTTCTGTTTTTTGCTTAGACAAAATCCAAATCAGGTTTAAGAACTTATCATTAAACTAGTTTTATCATTATACTTTGGTCATGAGCATAAGGAAGTAAATATTTAATCTGTGGATGTTTATGCGTTAATCTATTAGCCAGATCAGTGACAAAAAAACAAAGAAGTCAGATAAATCTAGGTGAAGTCTCTATTTTTGAAAGAAATTTTACTTAGTGAGTATCATTCTGCTAAGAACTAACAATGTAACAATTTGTATGCTGGCTAAGAGTTTTTCAGAGTTTCTAATTAATTAATTAGTTGCTAAATTAATTCATCTGAATTAAATAATTTTTAAAAATTTAATTAATTAAAACAAATGTTTTCTTTCATATTTATTCATTCACCAAACATTTATTAAATGTTCAGTACCTTTTGATTAAGCATCTGATGCCTTCCCTCACGGAAGGTGTCATTATATCAGAAAACAATGATGACCTAATTGATTGAAGTTAATATTTAATATGTGAAAACTGCACATATCTTTTAGAGGCCAAGTATTTTATTTTGGGTTGAGTGGGGTAAGATTGGTGATGATATCAATGAAAAGAAAGTAAGGCATGATGTTATGTGTTATATTTGTTATGTTTGTATGTATAATGTTAATTTCTTCCTTAATGTTTTATAATTGTATTCTGAATAATAATTAATTAATGATGTATATAATATTTGACCACCTTTAAGAGTAATGGAAAAGTTCATTTGAGATATAAGATACTCAATGTTCTCTTTGCTATTTTTGGCATATATTTTAATTTGTTTGCATTGACCACCTCCTTGGAAGAGTCTCAGCTGAAATTAGGCTAACCAATTGAAAAACAGAAAAAATAAGCAATATCATATAATATTGCAATGATTAATTATCTTACCTACAGATTTTGCAAAGCAGCATCAACTTGGGCAGGTCAATAAAAACTTTTGAAATATTAGTGTAAGGTGGGCAATAGTAATTTCACCTGCTCAGATCTAAAGGAACTAGATTTATTTCTGCTCATGGTTGTGAATCAATATAGTACATTTGTGGATTTTAAAGAAAAAAAATAGAACAGATTATAAACATAGGCTTGCCATTATAACAATAATAATAGCCTATTTTTTAAATTTTTCAACAGTTCTTAGTGGTCTCTGTTCCAATGACTGCCCTCGTAAAATAACAGTAAGTAAAATCAACTATCATTTGCAAATATTGGTATGAAAATGCTGTCTAGAAGAGCTCATTTATGTAGTAATTTAAGATTTGCAAAGTGCTTTTTCATATATTATCTCATTTTACCCTCACAGTAACCTTGTGTGGTAGGTACTATTATTCTCATTTTTCAGATAAAGAGACCAAGGCTTAGAGAGATTAAGTGACTTCCCCAAGGTCATACCAATGACAAACTAATAAAATGAGTTTGTCAAATGGTGTTCCAATTACTACATGATAATAATTTCTAGCATTTGTGTGGCAATATAAAATCTACAAAGCACTTTACTTATATTATATCAGTTGTTCCTTACTACACCAAATACTCCCCCACCCTGACTCTTTTTATGTATGACAATAGTGAACCCTAGAGAGGTTAAGGGACTTGCCCAGGGACCCACAGCTAGTAAATATCTGAGGCAGGTTTTGAACCATGGTTTTCCTGAATCTAGATCTAGCATCCCTCCACTGCTCTACCCAGAGATGATTGAAGTTTTCCCTGGTACCCAAAAATATCCTGCCTCACAAATAAATTACTTTCTTTCCCTACTTTAGAAATATTAGAATTTGAAGTGAATAACCAGGGATGTGTTAATTACCTTAATTATTTAGCAGCATTTTAATTTGAATGTCCCAGGACCCAAAAGAAAGGGTTGTGTACGCTCTGTGCACAGAGAAGGAAATTTTCCAGTAAACAGGTACTGATTAACATGATCATACTGCCTGTGAAAAGGTGCCCAGAACTTTGCTGTCTCCATTATATATGGTTTGTCAGTAGTTTTATACTTAAACTGGGTTCTCCTTTCATTGGGTCCTAGATACAGAGTCATCAGGGACCTTTGATCAGCCAGATGCCTATTTGACAAAAAAAGAAAATTGGGCCCAAAGAGAAGTGATGAGCCCAAGTTAACACAAATGCCCAATTTGAGCCAGGTCTTCAGGCTCCAGCTCTAACATGTTTTCCACTCTGCCCAGACTCTTTGATCTTTTTCCTTATGATTTTAGCCAGTTCTCTACTCATTAGCATATCCATCAAAAGACCAACAAAGGGAAGAAGAGGAGGTACAATCCAGACAGTTGTCTTGGCTACCCATTCTCACAAATGAGTTCAGCATGAGGAAGTCTGTAGTTTTCAGACAAGCTGTATTGAGAGTTTTTCTCTTACTCTGTATCCATTTCCCCTTTTCCCTGTGTCTCTTTACTTATTTGCATATATAAAGTATTTCTCCCGTATGCAGACCAACCTCCAAATAAACCTGAATACTCTCAAAATCATTCTGAAAGTCACATCAGTAAAGTCCAATTTGCAAAGCTGCTCCTAGATTGATTACTCTGACAGTTTAGTTCCCTCAGGCTTCTCAGCAGTTGATACATTTGCCTCCCATTTATCCATTTATGACTTGCTTTGAGGTTCAGATCCTGTTGAACTGCCCTTCACATTTTTCATTTTCCTTCCCCAAAGATATCATAGATCACAACTAAAGTGACAGGCTCAAAGGTGGGAAATGCACAACATACTTCCCCCAGTGTTCTGTCCATCAAGTACATGCCCACTTTTGGAAATTATTTACATCCTGAGTTTGCCTTCTTCATATTGATTTTGATTTCAGAGTAATTCCAGCATGCCACAAAGTGTCATCACACTAAGTAAGACTCTGAATAGTAAACCTCCTCCCTCCAGCAAAAAAAGCTGGTGTACTGCAAATTTATTTACTACTAAGGTTAGTTAATAAGGTAACTTCTTTTTTATTTTTCCTTTTTTAAACATGTTTAGTATTTTATTTTCCCCAATTATATGTAGAAATAATTTTTAAAATTTTGAGTTCCAAATCCTCTTCCTCCCTTCTTCCCCTCCCCTCTCAGGCAAGCAATTTGGTATAGATTATATACGTGCAGTCATGCAAAACATATTTCCATATTAGTCATGTTGTGACATAAAACAAACAAAAAAAAGAAAGAAAAATGAAGAAAGTTTACAAAAAGTGTGCTTCAGTCTGCATTCAGACTCCATCAGGTTTTTTTTCTGGGGATGGGTAGCATTTTTTCTCACACGTCCTTCAGAATTATCTTGGATCATTGTATTGCTTAGAATAGTTAAGTCATTCACAATTGATCATCATACAATATTACTGTTACTGTGTTCATTGTTCTGGTTTTGCTCTTTTCATTCTGCATCAGTTCATGTAACTCTTTCCAAATTTTTCTGAGAGCATCCTGCTCATCATTTCTTGTATTACAATAGTATTCCATCACAGTCATATACACAGTCATATAGTTTCTTGGTGTCTCATAAAGTCACTAGCTTCCTTCCACTTGTCTAATTCTAATTTTTAAGGAATTGTTTTCTTCATTGAGCTTTTGTATCTTCCTTTTGCATTTAGCCAATTCTACTTTTTAAGGAGTTCTTTTCTTCATTCAATTTTTGTACCTCTTTTTCCATTTGGCCAATTCTGCTTTTTAAGGAGTTCTTCTTTTCAGTGAATTTTTGTACTTTTTACATTTGGCCTATCCTGTTTTTTAAGGTATTATTTCTTCAGTATTTTTTGTGCCTCCTTTACCAAGCTGTTGACTCTTTTTTTCACGATTTTTCTTGCATTATTCATTTCTCTTCCCAGTTTCTCCTCTGCCTCTCTTACTTGATTTTTAAAAAACCTTTTTGACAGGGCATCTAGGTGGCACAGTGGATAAAGCACCAGTCATGGAGTCTGGAGGACCTGAGTTCAAATCCAGTCTCAGACACATGATACTTACTAGGTGTGTGACCCTGAGCAAGTCACTTAACCCCAATTGGGGAAAAAAAAAAACAACCTTTTTGATCTCTTCCATGGCCTGAGGGCAATTCACATTTTTCTTCCAGGCTTTGGATGTAGGAGTTTTAACTTTGTTTTCTTCTTCTGAGTTTATGTTTTTATTTTTCCTGTTACCATAGTAACTTTCTAAGGTCAGAATCTTTTTCTGCTATTTGGTTATTTTTTCCAGCCTGTTTCTTTTAACTCTATGTCAAAGTGGTGCTGTCTTCTGGAATGGAAGGGGCATTGTCCCAAGCTTCAGATTTTTTGTGCAGCTGCTTTCAAAGCTAATTCTGGGGGTGTGTGAGTTTCCACTTCTTCCAAGGTGTTATGATCTAAGGAGAGGTTTGTTTGCTACTCTACTGGCTTGTGCCGTGCTCTGTGAGCAACCACAATCATTCTTTTCTGCCCTGGAACTGTAACCAGGATCCCTGCCCCCCTGTGGCCATAAACTGTGGTGTACTAGTGTTCCTTCTTACCCTGAGGCTGCAAACCAGATCCACATATAGGCAATACAATAGAATCCTGCACCCAGTGCCAGTAAAGGGACCCATGTAATCTCTTTTTGACCAATTATCTGACCCCTTACTGTGTCTGTGTTCTGAGAGCTGTGGAAGCTATTGCTGCTGCTGCCACTAATTCAGTTTCCCCTAGGCCTGCTGCTGGTTTGTAGAAGTGTAGCCTGCCCCTGTGTTCCATTTTCACCCTGGTGTGAAGGTGCCAACCTTCTAAGTTGTTTTGGGCTGGAAAATTTTTAACACATCCTTTTGTGGATTTTACCACTCCAGAATTCATACTGAGGCATTATTTAAAGTTGTTTGAAGGGGAACATGAGAGAGTTCAGGCAAGTCCCTGCCTTTTCTTGGCTCCACCTCTAAGATAACTCTTCTACTAACTCTTATGTCATAAGTCAGTCTAGCTATACCTTGGGAAAATATGATTCGTTGCAGGATCCTCTCCCTAGGATTTTACATTGTTCCATAATTAGCTGAGGCTTGCAAATTAAGTATTATACCATTCTTCCCCAAACAAGTGTCTAGTATGCTTCCTATCCTGTTTAGCATTACTGGTTAACTGAGCACAAAGAGAATGATAAAATACTTTTAGGGGTGCTCACTTTGAAAAGTCCTCAAATTCCTTTGTTATCCCTGAGGGGAAAAACAGTCCTACCCTTTATGTTTTCAAACATCTTGATGATCTAAATCAGTTGTTTCAACCTGTTTCTAAACCCAGACTGTGAATGTAGCAAAACAAAATAACTCTTAAGCCTTTGATGTTTTCAATCAGAGAGACCTTTGGGGCTGAACCAACATGTTTTGTTTAGCATCTCACTGATAAATTATCTCAAATCATTTTCCTTCTCTTTTGTTTTGTCCATAGTCAAATGAATCCTTTAGCTTGATTGTTATCTTTATTTCACCATCCCCTCTACAATGGACATAACTTATGTGTGTGATAGTTGGGCTTGTCATAATGTTTCCAAATATAAGATTCTCTCTACAGCTCCAAGACCTTCTCTTGTTTATGATGATTACACTTCACTATGCTGAATTACAATAAAGAAGTACTCTCTTCTATCTGACCTTTACTCTCTCCAGTTTCCTTGGTGTAAGGGGAAAGTATATTGGGGTCTTCAGAGAAAAATAGTGCAAATTAAAGAAAATAAGAGATTTCATGTATTATCTGGCAGGAATAAGTAAGAAGTACGGCAAGTAAATATATGGATGAACTAAATTGGAAAATGCAGCCAACATACCTGAAAGCAAACAAAACATGCTATGACTTCTACAGGCTAAAATCACATGAGAAAAATAGATACTTTCTTGTGAGAAAATAAAAGTCCATCCTGGCCCTCATATATTTTTCACATCATAAATTCATATATTTTCCTTTCATGAATTCTTTCAGGATCAATTATATGATTCTCTGCAGTACTCATGTGTGCTCTTGTACAGATCGTACAGATACAAGGACAATGGTGCAATATACATTTGGTTTCAGTTTTAGTTGCAAGACTTTTAGGTAAATCCTTTAGAAAATAAAATGAATTTGGAGGTATGAACTCCTACCACCATTTCCCAGGTCACAAAAAATTTTAGCCTAAGTGACCCTGGCTTTATATCAGTTAACATAAAAGAACTTTGTGGGAAACAGCTTATAATCTAGATAGACCATCTGAACCACAGTGCGTCAGGATGGTATGCACTAGCACTAGAAGTGAAGGTCCCAAATGTCCATACCCTTTGACTCAGAGATCCCACTTCTGTGGATCCACCAAGGATATCATTGATAACAAAAAAGTTCCCACATACACCAAAACAGTGACAGCAGCATTTTTTTGTGGAGACAAAGTAAATGCCCATAATTTAGGGAATGGCTAAATAAATTGTGGTACATGAGTGTAATGGAATATCTGTTGTTGTTCAGTCATATCCAACTCAATCCCCCCATTTGGGGTTTCCTCAACAAAGATACGGTCATGGTTTGCTGTTTCCTTTCCAGCTCATTTTACAGATGGGGAAACTGAGGAAAAGAGGGTAAAGTGATATGCTCAGGATTATACATATAGTAAGTGTCTAAAGCTAGATTTGAACTCAGGTCTTCCTATATTCAGGCCCAGCACTCTATCCATTGTGCTACCTAGCTGCCCAATGGGATGTTACTTTGCTGTAATAAAATGCTATTATAGCAAACACAGAAAAGCATAGAAAGGTTTACATGATCTGATGTAGAGTGAAATTATCAGAGCCAAGTTAGCAATATGCACAATGACTATAAAAAGGTAAATGGAAAGAACAACTACAAAACAGTCAAAACAAATTTTGAAAAATTGCAAAGGACTAGCATGGCCCTGAAGTAGATGTCAGAGAAGACACCCCCACCCTATGCCTTTGCAGAGGTGGGAGGTCCACAGGTATAAAGCATTGCATATACATCTCAAATATTTCCCATATATTGAGCAATTTTTCTTCTTTCCCCTCTTTTTCTTTTTTTCTTTATTTATAAAATATTATTAGTTATATGAGATAGCTCTCTCAAGGAGAAGGGATACTGGAAGAAATTGTGGTGATGTAAACACAAAAGATATCAATAAAAAAAATTTTTAAGGGAAGAACCATGGATAATGGCATTGACCAGTCAAATAATAGGCTCCCTAAGAACTCTAAAAATAACTCAGTTGCTCAGAAGCAAACAAGCAGCACAACTACAAGTCCAATGCAGGTGGTTTGATTTCAAAGCTAGTGTTTTCTACACCAGGGGCCTCATGAGTAAGTCACTAAATGAGCTGGAAACTTTCTTATATCCTCTTTGGAAGTTTTCAAACAAGTCTTAAGAAATTTGAGTAATCTTCTGTTCCCTCTGCAGGTAGCCTAAATGTTATAGTTATCATGGCGCTGACATAGGAATGAGGCTCTTGGTTTCACCCAGTCATAAAATCCCTGTCAGCCTGTACCTTTCCCCAAGATGATGTAACGTGTAATAGCTCTTCTTGGAATAGTCTTTTAAGGATATGAAACCCCAGAGAGATTATATTCAGAAACGGCACAGTGGCCTAATCCTATTGCTGGACTCTTCCACTCCCTCTAGAAATGTGTTAACCTTTTCAGACCCCTGTCCAGGAAGTTAGCAGTGAGGTGGCACAATAGAGAAGGTGTTGCATCTGGACTCAGAAAGACCTCAGTTTAAAGCCTGCATCAGGCTTAGCTGTGTAACCATAGACAAGTCAACAACTTCCTTCAGCCTCACCTTCTTCATCTGTGAAGTGACGATAGTAATAGCACCTACCTTACAGGGTCATTGTGAAGATCAAATGAGATGTTCATAAAACTTTGTGCAAAGCTTTAAGTGTTATGTGTGTGGTGGTGGTGTTGTTGTTAGCAGTTCCTGTATATTAAAGAGGAAGTGTCTGAATCAGGGTTTGAAAATGAAAG